AACTTTCTCAAACTCACCTGAATTGTGTTGTGTGCGTCTCCAACCTGTCTTGAGGACGCCAGATGTGTATTTTGACTCCTGCATGGGATCTCTCCTCTGACAGACAGTATCAGAGGCAAATGTCTTGAAAAAAAAACAACACATGGTTAATCCATATTATATACTAAAAAATGGTCTCAATTCACCTGTCTTCATTTCAAAAGTGGACTCTAGCAAATTAAATAAAAAATGCGTGGGCGCCAGTTAAGGTAAATGCTAAACTAGCCGGTGGAAAACAAATCAATGTGCATGACCAAGAGTGCAGTTTGTCCAGGCTATGCACACAAAACTAGACCATGATTTTAAAAAATGTCCATTTAAAACATGGCTGCCTGACTTGCTGGTCATTCACAAACATTCAGAATTCTTTGAGAATGCAGCCAAAGGTTTGCTTATTTATTTATGTATTTGCAATTTTGAGTTGTCAGCCGCTGCAGCCCCATGATAGACGAGCTTAACGGCAGAAGCGCAGATCGTTTTCACTTTTTGCCTTCATGATTTCCAAAGCCCTCTGTATTCTGCCGTCTTCTTATCAAAGTGACTTGTAAGGCCATCTACAGCATGTAGATACATGATTATATGTATGCTGGTCCGTGACCCAGACGACACTAATAATACATTTGTAATTACCATATATGCAATCATTTGACTAAAGTACCTACAATGTAGCCCTGATTGGATGAAAGAACCAGCAGCTCAAAGTACATTTGCTGCAACTTTACTCCATCCCTCATTTCTACGGCGTTACCTCCTGCTGCTCTCCTCAGATATCCTGCCATTTTATCCCTTTGTGCAGTAGCCAGCTCTGCACTGAGAGGAGCGACGAGCCAGGCTAATGAATTCATCCTCAACAAGGGTGTGATTAACCTATTGATTCTTTCTCCTTGCTTCCTTGCCACTTAGAAAATTCTCTTGCACGAATACATTTCTGTAGCACAGCGCGTTGACTCCAACAACCTCACATTCAAATGCTTCAAATTAGATGCTTTTACTCCCTTTGCCCTTCAACGTGCAGATTACACATCAGCTCTCTCTCAACTGTCCTCTCCAAGCGATACAAAGACATGCTTTGGCTTTAACTGATATAAACGAGGCATTAACAGTGCGGGGTTGTGTTTTTTTCTGTGTGTCTCTGCAGACTGAAGCAGAAGTCCCAGTCGGTGGATATTGCAAGTCAAGGTTTTTCTCCAACTCTGGTGCCAGCCTCGCCTCGCAACAAGGCTGCACCACCTGTTGCCAAGGCGACCACCGGCCTTGAGGTGCAGGAAAACAACACAACCAACTCGAAGCTCCGCTCCCCTCGGTGTGTCGAGCTGAAGAGAGGCTACACCATAGGTAAAGGGCACAGGAGGCTGCGGTGGCAGCAGATAATGACAAATCTGTATATTTTTGGAAATTATACATGATTTCTGTGTGGCTTTTATTCTCAGTTATTACATGCTTTACTAATAAGTGGAGTGCATTGTTTTTAATATCTTTATATTGATGTCCAGTCACTCTTTTTAAACTGTTGACATGAACGTGGCACGGCTAAATTTGACCACGTTGCAGCAAACTTTGGCTCTCCCCATATCTCATCTCCTAATCCATTTGCTGCCTACCAATTCTAATTACGTGGCCCAGATGAGATTTACTTCTGTGATGAATTCTATTTTTGGTGGTGGCGATAGCGGTGTGGGAGTGACTGTCTGCTCCAGCTCTGGTTCTGTGTTGGAGGGTCGGTTTCTGCTTTGAGGATTGAGCACACTTTGGGGAGTTGGTTTTGTGGAGATGATGAAATGAATCTGAGCTAAACGGATTCTGATCTGATGAGCGCTGTGCATCTTCGTTTGTTTCATTAATGTGATCCAGTTAGCGAGTTGCTCCGGTTTAAGTTGGAAAAGAAAAGAACAAACTGAATGGTTCTTTAGGTGATCAACTACATTTTGATTTCATATTTCCTATAAAGTTATGTTAGTCTGAATCTGTGTTTCTTTGTAGATTCTCACTCATCCAGATCTGTTGATCCTTAGTGTTTAAATGTATAAAAAAAAAAAGGTTTGAAAAAACTGTTTTGAGACGCTAATAAATTGAAAGAAAGTAATAAAAGCTGCTTGTTTTAGAGTTTTGCATAAAAAAAAAACTAACATTAATTCTAAATTTAAAATAAAACATTGAAAAACTTAATTGGGTCACTTAAGTATTTTCTGTTAATCCAAAAAAGTTCAATCTGGTCCTCTGGACATTCAAAAAAAACAAAAAACAAAACAAAGCAAAAAAATGTAGAAACGTTTCGTCTCTCATCCGAGAGACTTCCTCAGTCTGAGGTGCTGTTTTCAGCTCAGTCTCTTAAATAGCACCTTCTCAGAGTGGATCAACCAGTTTGCTGCTGACAACCAAAACCAGCTGATCACATGCTCAAGAAGGACCATCAGCCTAACAATGGATCATTAGCACACTGATGGCTGTTTACTGTTCACAGAGGGCTGAGTGATACTAGCAATACTCCAAATTCAATTGTCCCCCTCTTACAATGCTGTGATTGCTAGTATCACTCAG